ATTTAAAGACTCGTTTATTTATTTATATATTTATTTATTATGTATTAATGGCTTCGATAAAGCTTCGTGCACGCTTTGAGGAATCCAAATGGAATCATAGCGCGACTACCTGCTTCATTCATTCGATGGCGATTACAAAATCATAAATGAAGAAAGAATGTTACAATGCCTGTTGTAAATTGAAACCCATAATGAAATCTACACTAGAAAATTTAGAGGTATTACCACTGTCCCTCTCAATTTCCAATTTATTCGTGTAAAATACTATGTCTATTTGCGTCCATGCCCAACTGTATCGCCGCACATGTTCAGACAAAAGGAGATCCTACGGGGTATTAAAGGTTTTTAAATTGTGTTATCATTCCACAGAAATTGACCCTTTGCTTTGCTATTATAATCATTACAATCGTCATTTCGTTCGATTTCAACTACCCAAGTGATTGATTACATGATTCAATTTTATTGATTTTAAAATTCGCGTTTAGCTTTTATTACTATTTCGTACACGGTGTAATTTAGAACATATAAACTAAAATGTGAGAAATATTGTAAGACATGGACCTTTACAAGTATGTATAGTAATTGCATTATAAAAAATGAATTTTTTTATCTAGGAAAATTTTGTGCTGATGCATAAACGTAGATTTAAAAAAATTTATAAGAATGTAATTGATAAATGATTAATTATCTGAAAATAAATACTGTATTGTGATTTTTCATGCAACTTTAACGTATTTAGTTAATAAAATTTAGATTCATAAATACAGAATTAAGAACTATCGACAGAATAAGGTGTTCGCATAGGACGCCAAAGCAAATTAAGCCGGCCGGAATTTATGCTTAAATCTAGTGTTTATTTACATTGAAATATCATTAAAATAATTAAAATAACGGTTTAAAAATGTTTGAAAGGTTACAAAAGTTAATTACGTATTTGCGGTTGAGTCGCCTTACGAGCGATTTAAATTTTTAAATGCAGTTATGAATTTGTAAGCGACTCTTCAGGACATCTAATTCACATTTTTGATAATTTGCTTTTAAATGCAGATTAAACGAGGAAGAATTGTGTGTTGCGTATTTGTTTACATTAGTAAAAAGAATCGAACTGCTTTTTGTGCTTTGTAAGCACCCCAAATCCCCGCTTGAGTCTACGATAGAGTTTTCCCGTAATATTCCTCGATGACACGATGTGATCGGGATTCCAAATAACTTACGACATTCGCCGACCCGGACTCGATATCCACACCATATTTGGTCGAACAGTTTTGAGGGAGTTTATTTAAACCCAATAGTAGTAGTGACGGTTTGTGGAATACGACAACGCAGAGTGGGTGATGTGCAAAGGAGAAATGCCTCCCGAGAAAACTTTCTATGGGAAACAGGCTCCTATATATAACACATCAAAAAACCCGGAAAATTCCACGGGGATGGTTGATAGTTTTATCCACTCGGTGGATTTTAAATTCATTGACATTTGAGTGTAGAGAAATAAATAAGTTGAGCGAGCGAATCTTAACATTAATTTCACTTTATTTTTTTAAAATAAAATAAAATATTTCGTTCTTCTCAAGAGCATTATTTTAACACTATATTTATGAATTTATATAATTCATATTCAGTTTTGTTTATAACGAAACGGAATATGAATACAAAACGAAAGATACTTCAAATATTAAATCTATGCCCCCTTTGGGCATAGATTTAATATTTGATTTAAACCTAAATCCCTTTGGATCATCACTACCATTGAATTTAAATAAACTCCTCCGAAACCGCTTGATTGATCTCGACCAAATATGGTATGGACATCGAGTTTGGGTCGCTGAATATCATAAACTATTCCGAATCTCGATCATCTCGTTCATTATTAGAAAATATAAAGATATTTGACACAAATAACTATTTGTAATTATTAAAAATATTCGCATATCTTTAAACAACTGTAGAAGAAGTGTGGGGGCCGAGGGGAAGAAATAAAAAAAACTCAATGAACGATAATAGGCGATATATATCGTCATCGTCTCCCTTGCCGTTTGGATTGCCGAGCGGTAACAATCAACGACATGTGGAAGCAGTTGAGTCAGAGATAGATGCTTCGTTTACAAACAACACAACCGTTTATTAAACACGAAAGAAGCTTACAAGATTTCCGCGATCTTGGAAGTTCTGCGGCTGCTGCGGCCTTTGGGTCTTCCTCTCCTTTCCAAGATAGTCCCATTTTGAAGGAGTGTCCCTTGTTCGCGAATGTCATTTTGAAGAAGTGTCCTTCATTCGCGAACAAGGGACACTCCTTCAAAATGGGACTATCTTGGAATTACCATTCCATCACGTCTCGACGACTCCGGGACAATGCGGTCGACTTCCGTTGATGGAAAGATGTCGATCCGAGGTCGGGAGATTGAGACGAAGATGGGTGCGAGACACACACACAACAGATCCGTCACTTGAAACTTTCGGGAGAAGAAGCCGTCGCGTCCTTGAATTTCCGGGGTTTTATCCGTTTACTCTCAGATTCCCCTTTCCGATTGGTCTCTCGTCGTCACCTGATGACAATTCGAAACCTTTCGGGGGCGCGGAAGAAGTCAAAATCGAAGTTTAATTCGATCTCCAACCGGAAATGGTCCACGGACTTACATTCTTCTATTGTTTAAAAGTTAGCGTCGCGTTTTCATAAAATAAAATTTTTTTTTTACTTCTGTTTTTTTTTTCTCTAAAACAATTATTTTAATGCGAATTTTAGTGAGGGTTCGGACCTGTCCAGAGCCTCACAGAAGTAGTGATTTTCTATTCAATGAAAACAAATAAAATATCATTTTAAAATTACACAGCAAATTTATTTGTATATTATATAAAATTAGCAAAGAACTATTCAACTTTCATGCAGCGTCCGTAAAGAAGACAACTCTCAAAAGTGCAGGGAATCATTGACTGGTAATATACCATAATCTAGAAATGAAATTCCTTGCGGTTTAAAATTTTTTAAATTTTTTCATTGAGTAACAAATCAATACTTTTACAACAGTTGTTGGTTTAAAATATCAAAATCATTTTAATAATTACAAAGTAGTATTTTGGGGCCAAATATATTTTGTAATAATTTACTGGATTGCACACTTCAGAAAAAGTTGCGGAAAAATGGTTCGATAAGAGCAGAATTGAACTGTGACATTGAACTCTTCAATCTGGTAGTTTTTATTCACTTGGTTACGTCAATGCCTTGCGAATCACTTAAAGAACCTGATATATAATTCTCACAGAAAAGTTTAAACAATGATTTCTCGTAAACCACTATTCATTGGCAGGGGTGTTAGTGGGAGGGGTGAACTAATACGTATTAAAATTTCAGCAAAATACAGGATGTAAAAACTCGGACGTTTCCTTGTTAGATGAAGTTATGTATTTCGTTTTATTCAATTATAAAATTTAAACATATTTATAATACAGATTAAAGGAATACACGTATTCGAATGCAAACACGAAAACTTTTGTTGGTCATTATTGTACAAAGACAAATGAAAACAATAAATATAGATAATAATATTGTATATAGAAGTATTCTTGGATTCGAATTTCGAACTGTAGGTCACCATCTTGGAAAGGATGATTTTTCGTATATTTTTAAGTGTATTTTGTCATTTTCGAAAGAATTTTGATCAAGAAAACTTTATTATGAAGATCCTCGGTAGTGTCTACATATAAGATCAGCTACAAAAGCGTCTGTACCCAAGTTAGTAGCGGCTTGTATTAAGCTGGCAGAAAGCTATAAAATGCATCTCTCAACACGTCAGCTTAGTATGGGAGATTAGGCCAGCCCAAGGAAATAAAGAGAAAGAACAAAGACTGTAAAAGCCAAGATGGGCAAGATGGGCTGAGGAGGCCTGATGCGAAATGCATTTGGATCGTATTAATAAAATAATGACTGTTCCTTGTCATTTATTTGTCGTTTTTTGGCTCGAAGTCGGAAATAGAAAGAGTATAATTTTACTTGTTTTTTAACTAAATTTTTTTTTATTTTTAGTGGGTGTTAATATTTATACCGATCCCATTGGTTTTTAATATTTGAAAAACTATAAAATTGATTCTTTAAAATGAGGAAGAGGGGGAGGTCACTTTTAACGTCTCGAAAACAAAAATTTCTCCATGCTAAGTTTGCTGGCTTACAGTTGATTCCGGTAATTTTCCATTCCAGGAATAAAAAATTCCTAGAGATTCGAGATTTTTTTTCTCTGCAATAAAGAATAAGCTGCGGGCAAACGCCCGTAGCTTATTCTTTATTGCAGCTTTAGTCTGTTTTAATACTGCATATACCCTAAAATTCGAGCGTCTTGTTTAGTGTATGCGGAAGGAATAGGCCACAATTGGAAATCGAAAAATTAAAAATGTTTATCAAATTCCGGAAGTCTCCTGCCGAATCCGAGAGAGTTGGCAAATCTATTTCTGTTTATTTTCATTATCATTTTTGTTTTCTAATATGTACAGTATTACAAACAATATGAATTTCGAGCTTTTTCGTCTTATTATTCTACAAAGGCCTAACTAATTCTTGTTATTCTGTAATAATGGAAATGATAATTAAGTACGGTTGTAAGATAATAGTAGATTGAATTAAGTATTGTCCGTTAATATAATTCTCAATGTTTATTTTCTACGCGATAGCAAATGTATATTTATTTATTTATTTTCAAGGAAGAAAGGCAATATCTCGTAGGCAATACGTGCCTCCCCTGGTACAACAAATAGATAACATACTCAGTTAAAACTCATAGAACAAATCGAAAAAATAAACATTTTCTTCGTCAATTAGTAAAATAACTCATTGGTTATATAATATAGTATATCAATCATAAAATTTAATAAGTAATTACACACGCTACAAATATTATTTCGTCATTCCTGCATCGCCTAATGCATGAAAAATCGTAGACATTCCCATTATATGTTTCGTAATCATTAAGACAGAAAATTAGAAAATAAAGATTTAAATTCTTCTAGCGCTTTTATTATTTAGTGAAATGGACATACAATCGTTTAAACAGTTAGCTTTTCGTTTCCTTTCGTAAATAAAATGAAAATTCGAAGACATTCCAACTAGCCTATAAGCTTTTACGCCGATTATCCAGCTTCAAACAATTGTTTCCTTATTAAATAAAACAGATTTCTTTCTAATAAAATTAAAGACAAAACTGTCCAAAAAGGATCACCATTTATTTTTTGTGTTCCAAGACTAACATATTTTCGGCGACTGGCCTTTCTTTGTAGGCTGCTTGTCGCCGAAAAATTACAAAGAGTCTTTTAAAAAACACAAACACATCCAATCAAAATTATAAAAATTTCTGAAAAAGGAACTGGTGACATACAGTTGTCCTGCTTACATCCATCAAAAACCCCCAACAGAAGGTATAGATGGATGTAAGCAGGACAACTGTATGTCACCAGTTCCTTTTTCAGAAATTTTTATAATTTTGATTGGATGTGTTTGTGTTTTTTAAAAGACTCTTTGTAATTTTCCGGCGACAAGCAGCCTACAAAGAAAGGTCAGTCGCCGAAAATGTGTTAGTCTTGGAACACAAAAAATAAATGGTGATCCTTTTCGGACAGTTTTGTCTTCAATTTTATTAAAAATATTTCTCCATCGGACGAACATTTACAGAAGATTTGTTTCTGTGAATAATCACGCATCTCATAAGATTTGACCTTCAGGAATAAGATTACGAAACAAATTAAATATCCTATAACTAAAATGAACTAATATATACTTTATATATTATTATATTATGGCTAATTGAATGTTATTTACCGCGTTAATTAAATTTAATTGATCTATTAACAAAATTCTCAACAAGCTTCTTATTATTGTTATTTATTTATTTATTTTGGAACTAATTTCTAACAAAAAAATTTGAACTAATAATATTTATATTTAATTAATATTAATTAAAAACGAAACAAATACTAACCAATCATCCGATTGTGCTTTCAAGAATCTGCATTCTAATACTAATAAAATGCCCAATAAACCGAAGCAATTCATATTAACTGTCTGCCGTATTCGAAAGCGATTTCTACTCGATGGATTTTTCTCTGTTGAAAACTGGCGAGAAATTTGATACGCAACGTGTCTAGAGGATTTCTGGGAAGTGGCTAAATTGTTTTGATCGAGAAATATTCAAATAAATATTAAGTGTTCTCGTAACAGTTTAATACCGTATTAATAAAATTAATATTATACTTAACAGAAATTAAAGCTCTACTATATTCTATGAACTTTCTATTTTATACATTTTTATTTTTCGTAATAATTTGATTACGATAATTTTCACCGGTTTTTTTTTGTAATTTGAATACATTTTTATATACAGTAGAACCTCGATTATCCGGACTAATTGGGGATGAAGGTAGTCCGGATAAGGAAAAATCTGGATAATCGAAACAAATACTTTAATTTGTCTTTTAATGATAATATAACACGTTTTCTTTTCGATGACATATCGGTAATATTAAAAGTAAATACTGTATTTAAATCGTGATCAAATTTTCAAGAAACAAACGTTCGTATCGAATTTGGACTACTACTGACCAACGCTAACAGACTACCTATTGTTTAAAAGGCCCTCTGGTGGCGCAAGAAGACGGATTTTATAAAATAAAAAGCAGTTGA